AGTAGTCCAATTCGTCGCCATGGGTAGAATAGGGGGGGGGTTGGGAAAATGCGAGAAGGTAATGTGATGGGATGGAATGTTCAATGACGCGTTAGTCTCTTGGGGGAGGGATGAAGGAAAGAGGTGGGGAGGAGGTGGAGTGGGGGAATGGGGAGAGAATAAAGTAAATCAATTAGTGTTTGGGTGTGGTAACCACGATGCTCAAATTATGAGGGTTTAATGGATTTGGGTAGGTGTAGAGGCGAGGGGTGAGAGAGGCTAGGCGCGGAGTTGAGCTTCGTGGGCAGCCTTAGTGATGTTTAATGCAGTTATAAGAACATTACAGTATTATCTTTTCGGCAGGTTTTCACACTAGTAATGGAAACCTTATGTAATCCACCAATAAGGTTAACAGCACCTGATATGGCTGCAATTGGTAAGAAAATAAAATATATAAAATATAAACTTGGCAAAATTTTTTACCCTGCGTAATTTTTACACACCACCACACGCCTAAAGTAAACCAAAAATGCTTATGTGTATAGAGGATTCACATATTCTTTCACCTCTACAAATATCTGCTGTCACTCATGGGATACCCTGCAATAGTATAAGGACGACATGGGCTATGCTGACAAATTAATGTGACTTACCTGTTGGTGACGACGATGGTAGGAATGAGACATCGGCATGTTTCAGTGTTCCACAACCTTGGTAACAACTTGTGTATTCTCCGTGACTACCATTACTGGTAGTCACGGAGAATTAATTATTGGTGTGCCCATCATTCGCACCGTTGTAGCCATGAACGGCAGAGATATGGTCGTTGTAGTGCTTTTATTTACCCGTTACACATCTCTCACCATGCTTAATAATATTAACAATCTTCATGACATTCTTACTGTTATCAGTGATTGCGGAATTCACCATGTTATGCTCCACCCACACGCAGCCTGTTACTAGACTAACCCCCACCTCCTCTATTCTCCCCCCCCCCCTACACACTACAGTGAGCGACATCTGTTGGCCGACAATAGCATTTCCCCCAGCTGTTTCGAAACTTCAGACTCAAGGCTATTCGAAACCTCACTGTGACTGGGTAGTGGACACGACTTTGGTGCACGATAGTAGGAAGTTCTCACACCCGCCATATTAAGTGAATTTACCTCAATTGAACTTTGATGAATACATCAGTGTTCATGTTTTAACGTAGTTGAAAGTCTTATGTGGCAAGTGATAAAAATAACGTAACTAGACATTGTCTGTAGTGAACACTCCATGCGTTCCCTTGCCAGACGTGTGTGATATTTTGTATTTGATTTTAGACTTTTCTTGTCTCGTCTCCATTGTCTAACGGACACTGTGTGTGTTTTACTGCTACCGAGTAACGGTAGCGGCCTACCAGCCAGATGTTCGAGGCAGGATGTCTTTAATTCAATGAGATTAAAATCAGAGGGAGTAATGTGCCCTGGGAGCTACTCAAGGGAGAGTGGACTCTCTAGCACAGCGCACTGGAGTTTAGTGAGGCTACAGCCGACCTCATGGGATTGAACGCCAGTGGTATGAGCCTGGTGTACTCATGTTGATTGTGTAAGCTAAGGAATGTTCTTGTACCCTACTATGGATAATTATCGGGAATATAATGTCCCAGGTTGAGTACTTCAAACTGAACTGTCCTTAGTTGTGCCAGGTATTCTTCTTTTTTTAAAGTTGTAATTAATTTCCAAAGATTGGGATGCATGCACGTCACTGAACTTTGAAGTGCATTATGGTACCCTTCCAAGTTGTTAATGGTACGAGGCATATCTTGTTCTGTTCTGTTATGGACATTCCAACTGGCAATAGGAAATATAGGAGTAATTCTTCGTCGTCGAATACCTCGACCTCTTTCGCTTCCAATGTATAGAACATTACAAAATAAGACACTAGATCTTGAGGTAGGTCGCCATCATCTACGAGCTCCTTGAAACCATCAATGACATCAGCAGTTGGAAGAAATGCAAGAGATGAAAAACATCTGACCTTCAAGCTAAATTCATTATCTTGATGATATTTTTCTTTTAAGCCAATCTCAACTACTTTTCGATATATATTTTGTGAAAGATGAAACAGACAAGATGAAACAGAAGTAAAAGGAAAGATTGATACGAAGCTGTTAATATGAGCCTTTTCAAAATCCATCATGAAACTTTCAGGGTTCAATCCAGGACGTAGTTCTAGTAGCCTTGGGCATAGTCGAGTGTACGTTTCTTGTGTCTTGTTCGGAAGAAGTGCAAATAATCTTGGAACACTGAATTTCCCAACCTGAACATGAAGGGTGTACAGCTGATAAAATATATTTGGACAGCATTTAAAAGTTCCATCACTTGCCCAATGTTTTACATGCACCAAGTCATCCAGACCCTTATCCGTTGCAAACACAAGTAATCTATTTAAGTCATTTTCATCACTATCAAACTGCAGGAAAGTTCTAATATTTTTTTATAAATGTTTTTAATAAATTATTTAAATATTTTTTTTTTTTTTTAATATTGGTGAAATTACCGGGAGTGAAATTGACTGGGAGTTAAATTACCAGAAGTCAAATTATCGGGGGTCAAATAACTTGCGTGGGGCTTTTCTTGTTTTTGAGATGGGTAATTTGTTCACCCTGATACACTGTCGAGTGGCCTTCCGCAACGAGCTTGCTGAGCCACTGAAAATCCTGTTCTGTAAATGCCTGAATGAGCAACAGGTCCCCGGTGATTGGAAAATGGCTTATGTTAGTCCTATCTTCAAGAAGGACGATCGTTACACCACGAATAACTATAGACCAGTGAGCCTGACCAGCATAGCATTTAAAGTACTTGAGAGCAGTATAAGAGATGCCATGATGGAACATCTACTACGAAACAACCTTGTAAAGGATTGCCAACACGGTTTTATGCCAGGACGCTCCTGCTTAACACAATTACTCAAGGTACTGGATGTTTGGGCCCCAATTATGGAACAGGCTGGTAATATCGACCATATATACCTAGATTTTGCCAAGGCTTTCGACAGCTTATCCCGTGAAAGGCTGAAAATTAAACTGGGATGGTACAGGATTCCGGGAAATGTCCGAGCGTGGATGGAGACTTTCTCCATGACCGCAAGCTGTGTGTGGTGATTAGTGGCAGAAATCATTATGTGTACCCATGTCATGGTCACATTGACTGCTGGTCTGTTTTAAACCTGTTGATTCTTATTATACTTCACGTCCGCAAAACATCCCGAGGAAGAAACGCGTTTTACACCAAGGCTCCCTCTCCGTAAGTCCCGCCCATGTGAACACCGTTGTCAATGCGTATATTCCACTTTCTTCTGGAATGCTCAATCTTGAATTAGTTTATGTAATCAACTTAAGTAATTCGCCAGACCCGTGTCAACTGAGGGTCATCTTTGAATGTGTAGCAGTTGATTTGAATGTAATTTTTGTCATTGCGTGAGTAGCCACCTCTGGCAACTCACGGGTATTAAAACCCGAGCTTGAAGGGAGGAGTGCAGTAACACCACTCTCTAACCCTCTCTCACCATGAACGGTTACGAGTTTGATAACGTGGCGCGGATACGTCCGGATACGCCGACCTGCCCCAAGAAATTAAACCTCCTAGTTCTCAAGAAGTTCTTTGAAACTAATGAGATCGTAGGGGTCACCAAGGTGGGACGACTGAAGCTCCATGGTGACATCACGATCACCTTCGCCGAGAAGGGTATGCCAGTACAGCTCGCGGAGATCCCAGACATCAACGGCATTCCATTTAAAATGATTGCCTACAAGTGGGACAACCTGAAGCTGGGAGTAATCTCCCACGCCGAAATTGCCCATGTGGACCAAGCAGAGCTGAGTGAGCTCCTCAAGGGGCAACTCCAAGTTGTGAAGAAGCTGTCCGACACCACTGCCCTCATCGGACACCATACAACCTTACCCAAGGAGGCTCAACTGGCGTGGGTAACTGTGCCAGTCAAGCCCTACTGCAAACCGAAACGCTGTTACAAATGCCAGCACTACGGACACACTGTCAACAAGTGTGAGGCGCAGGAGGACACCTGCTCCCTGTGCGGCATCCCCGGACACCGCTACACGGTCTGCCCCAACACAGTAAAAAAATGCGCTGCCTGTGGCGGCCCACACTCCTCCACCGATCGGACCTGCCCGAAATGGAAGGAGGAATGCAGGATAGCCAAGGCGCGGCTCGACAATAAACTGAGCTACAAAGAGGCCCTCCTTGCTGTACGCTCCCAAGACAAGAAAAAACCAAAGGAAAAGAAAAACCAAGAAAAGAAAACCCAAGAAAAGAAAACACGAGAAAAGACACCCGCCACACAGAATCAAGAACACCACGAGGCCCGTGGAGCTGAAGCCCAGGTGGTCAACCTCACCGTCTCCGACTTCTTCCACACCTATGAGGACTTAAGACACGAGGAAGACGAACAACAAGACCCAAACACGAATGAATGGGCACTTCAAGAGAGCAAGAAGAGGAGGAGAGTTCGAAGAAAATCTACATCAAGCTAAGAAGAATACCAAGACAGAAGACCAAGACATTTCCTCCACACAAGAAAACAACACACACAAACTTGCCGACCAAGCACTGAGATTCCATGGCCCAACCCAACACGCACCTGACGCTTGACCTGACGCTAGCCTGACTGTCCTGTCGCCTCCTGGCCGCGTCCGGGCGAGTTGCTGCTGCCTCCAACTTATACTCCCTCACGCAAGCGGTGTTTAGCCGCTGCACCTATTCTCTCCTCCTAAAATTCACTTCAATCCTCCCTTTATTCTTCCCCTGAACCTCCTTCCTCCTGTCACTAGCATTTTTCGATTCGATTCGGAGGAGTACAAAGTCATTTGCCACTTTACTTCATTATCATCATCATCATCAGAAGCCCCTCCCGTGACGCTCTCCAAATTTGTTCTCAGATTCAGTGTGTGGGTTATTTGTACACCCCACCGGCTGCCCGGAGTCGGTGGCTACCTAACAGTTAGCTGTAATGGATAATGTCGCCGATTCGGCAGGATTAATTTGCTCCATGCATCGTGGGGGCTAGACCCCAGACTCTCGCCACGTGTTCGACTACCACCAATCATAACAGCGGTCGTCAGTTGTGAGACGCCAGTGTCCTACCCTGGGGCACGCCGTACAGTTATATGGTCCACAGTGTTCGTTGTATATGATTGGGGATAATTATCTGGAATATAATTATCCCATGTTGGGTAGTGAACCCATGTAATTTGTTTGTATCAGCAATAACGTGTTGTGTGTTGTGAGTACATTTCATAGGTACTAACAACAGTCTAGTGAAGGTATCAGATGTATGTTTGCCTGGTAATGTAATGTGATGCCATGTAACACCAGTAATGTTGTAAGAAGCGAGAATATCTGATTGGAGTTGCAGCTGAGAAGCCAAGGAGTTGATCTTTGTAGCTGTATGTAATGTAACACCAGTAAGGTTGTGAGAAGTAAGAATACAGTATCTAAGTGAATTGCAGTTGAGTAAAGCCGAGGAGTTGCACCTTGGAGTTGTATGTTAATGACATCTTTTTCCCTACTTTGATTTCATATTAATACAACATTTCTTAGAGTATATTAGGGGTATTCATTTCTTTTTCTCAGTATCCACCTTTATTCTGTCCAAGTGACCTTGATACCAGAATTACAATACCCATGTGCAGACCCTCGCCATGCTACCAAAAGAACTGAAGTTATGAAGTAACCATGAACTGGTATATGTAGACAACCAATGAAAAAAATACGACAGAAGTATGAAATAAGTATAAGGGAGAGAAGAAAATTCCCGTCTTTAAGGGTGGCCTTGGTGGTTCAGAAGTAGAGATCCGCCGCCCTTACAATGGTGGCAGCGTGCCCCCGCCCTTACATCCGTCACAAGTGGGGTACCACAGAGCAGTGCATTGGGCCTGTTGTTATTTGTTTGCTTCATGAATTACATGCCTGATGCTATACATTCCTCAATACAAATGTTTGCGGATGACGCCAAGTTATTTCGGGAAATTAAGAACCAAGTAGACTGTGAAGAGCTGCAGAAGGATCTCTGTGAGCTTCAAGAATGGTCGAAGAAATGGCTGCTAAGATTCAATGTCACGAATTGTAAGAGGCTGCACCTGGGAAGTACCAACGTTAAGGAGGCGTATCATATGTCCCAACGGGACGAAGAAACTGTATTGATTAAGACTGGAGGTGACAAGGATCTTGGTGTGTATGTTGACAAGGAGCTGAAGTTCTTGGGCCTATTGCGAGAAGAAGGTGAATCAAGCAACTAAATTATTAGGTCTTATAAGAAGGCCGTTCAGATATCACTCGGAACGATCTTCAAGAGTGATGTGCTTCCCCGTCTAGAGTACTGTCACCCCGTCTGGTCCCCGAGAAATGCTAGGGACTGTCAGTTGATTGAAAATGTCCAAAGGAGGGCCACCAGACTGGTGCCTGCACTTCGGCATCTCAGCTACCCTGAGAGATTATAGCGCCTGCAATAGCCTAGCTTATGTTACAGGCTGGCAATGGGGTTATCTAATTGAGGTGTATAAACATCTGAAAGGGCACTACTCAGTCGAGTGTCCTTACCTGGAACTGGCGGACGTTCGCCCCACAAGGGGTCACAGCTCAAGGTTGGAGAAGCCACTAGTCAAGAAAACTGTGAGGGGTAACTTTTTCGGAGTGAGAGGTGTGAACTCTTGTAACAATCTGCTAGAGTGTGTTTTGACGGCACCGAGTGTGAGCTCTTTCAAGGCCAGACTTGACAAGCATTGGAGCAGGTTCAGATACATTCAGGAGCCAGTGCATGCCCAGTACTTGCCAACAGTGCATAACAGAGACGTGACCGATCGCCCAAGCGGCTACCGAGCCGATCAGTGATCAAGAGGATAAAAGCAAAAGTAAAAGTATGAATAGTGCTGAGTTTACTCTCTCGTTGAACATGAATAGTACTGAGTTTACACTCGTTGAACATGAATAGTACTTAGTTTACACTCGATGAACATGAATAGTATTGAGTTTGCACTATCGTTGAACATGAATAGTACTGAGTTTACACTCGTTGAACATGAATAGTACTGAGTTTACACTCGTTGAACATGAATAGTACTGAGTTTGCACTATAGTTGAACATGAATACAGAGTCTTACTGATCATAGTTTGTTTTTTTACTTTGTATTATATAATTATTATAGTGGTTACTTTAAGAGGCTCATTCATGATTGAAGCAAATAAGTCTTCGAAACATCTGAGGTCAAGGAAATAAAGACGTTCATCATACCCTTGGTGTCACACGTTTCAGATTTCTTAAATATTCCTTCCCATACTTAGTTTATTTATCGTTTTTCTTTAATTTGAAATCCCCATTTCTTCACTCACTCATTCATTGTCGCTCATTCATTTGCTATGTTGTCTCATTCACTCATTCATAATTCATTCTGTCACCCATTTATTTACTAATTCATCCTGTCACCCACTCATTCATTGTCACTCAATCATTAATTAATTCCCTTATCCTTTCATTATCGCCAGCTTCCCCCGGGTGGAGGGATAGGTACATAACCATCCCCTTGCCCCTCCACCTCTCAACCAAATTTCATCTACAGTATCTCTAAGACTAAAAATCCCTAAGAAATTTATCAACATTGAAGGTACCTTAGGAGTGGATGTTCCTTCTCCTTCGACTCGATCCCATAAAATACTTAATCATATTCCCATCATTAGTTTTCTTTTGCAACGATATTAGTTCGTAGAAGATTTATTCAGCTTTCTGTATTCTGCTTCTATGACGATTAAACAACTGGACTCATCACCTTTGAGTAAGAATGAAAACAACATGAAAAAGATGTCGATGGATCTATAGAATCTTAATATATAAAAACAATTGTATTATATAATTATGTTTCTTTTGACTCAGGAGTTTTATTGATAAATCTTCCCTTCGTCAGGGGGTCCTTACGGCACCATGATGACCAACAAGTTCGACGAGCTGCTCACCCAGCTGGGGACTGGCAAGTGGAACCTGATCCATTTCATCAGCACATGCTACTGTAAGTCTTTTACTCTCTTAATCTCACAAAGATCTTTTTTTTTTTTAACTTTTATGTTCCTGGATGGTGTTGGTGGTTTCGGTAATAATAATTTATTTCCTTAATTTTCTCATCGCCTGTTAACATTTTATAGAAGTCTTGAAAAATTACCAGTGTTAAAGGGAGTACTAAGAATATTGCCACTAAACCAATAACACATCAAAGGACATGACCTAAAGATATAACCTAACCTAAACTAAACTACCTCAGGAATATTAAAACATTTAAGCATCATAGAGTTCAGAGGACACGAACTACCAAGTGTAACCTAACCAAAGTTACCACAAGATCATTAGGTCTGGTTAGGTTTGTTGGGTACAGTACGTACAGGTAAGTGGTCCTGTTCGCTGTGCTTTTTCACCACTGGCTATCTTGTTATCATTGTCTCCTTCCCATCCCCTAGTCTTATCAGTTAAACCTAGCAGTGGCTACAACAGCCTTTTACGTGTACGAGCATAGACAAATTTCTCAAATCTAAACCTAACCGAACCTTGGTAGTTTATCCCAGGACACAACAGTGATCACTACCCTATTATAAATTTCCTCGTCTGGGTGTTTCTATTACTGTTTAGCTTTCCAGTATACTGCGCTAAAATGAATGCATGTAATCTCTCCCGAATCCTCACTAAACCCTGTCTTTAATATCCAACCTTCCATGACAAGACTTGTGCGATTGTATTATAAATATTATACTCGTCCATTTCTGACTCTAGTAGTCTTATGGTTGTTTTGTGCATCTGCTGGTTTGTATATAAACAGTCTATTGTCTGATACTTCATTTAATGTTTATATATAGCCTAAACAGTATGGATCTCTGTCTTAGGTTCCCCTTAACTACCTGACTCAGGTAGATCGGCAGTCTGCATATATAACACATGCATATCGTATTACACAAAAAATAGTGCCATTTTTTTTTATTACGGCTTATCTTATGCTTCCCTCTATCACAATTACTTCAGTGAAAAACATTCCGAAATATATTTATTTATCGGCTAACTTTTATGATTCTCTATGTTGTTCGTCAGTTCAGTGCTTTACTCGCCTAAGTTACACATACTAGACGTTTCCAGACCGTCATCATACCCGGTCTTTCTCTCACATGATGCCAATATTGGAAAAGTACCACAAGTTAGACTTTTTCTCTTAACGACGACTCGTAACCCAGCTTAACCAGATAATCCTTAAGTTATAGGTGGATTTGGCCAGTTAATGGAGCTAGAAAAGTAAAAGGCTCCGTGGTTCGGTTCCTGGTATCTCTTCACATTTATCACTCTGTCCGTTCTCCTCGTAACCTTTATGGGAGTTCCCCCTCGTTACCGGTACTTAAGTCTAGTTCTTTCTAAATGAACTATACTTTACTGTATAGTTCATTGTTCCATGCACCCTTGTCAGCTCACTAGCACTCGTGCGGTGACGCACTGTTGACAAGTACTTGAACATGTAAGTTGCCAGCAAAAGTTCTCCCACAACCCTGTGTATCAAGTTGTGGGAGGACTTTTGCTGGCAACTGTACCACTACCAGTATTGGCCAAGTCTGGCAGGCTATTCAAAGTAAGGGTGTGACCTCTAATGGGACAATTGATGACGTACTAACATATCTTGGTAAGACAAATGTCTAGACTTTAAGTGACCCTCCTTTGGACGTTCTTAATCAATTGGTCATCTTTGTTTACTTTGAAGACCAAACAGAATCACAGTACCCCAAGTGAGGAAGTCCCACACGTTAGAAGTCTTATAGAGAGACGGACTAATTATGTACTGGATCTTTGCATTAATTTTATTACCTTACTGGTAAGATTTTCTTCTCAGAATCATCCGGCGCTACATCTACTGTAGTTTCAGTTGGGGCAATATCTTCGGCATGTTGGAACAGTGGAACGTTTCCCGATACTCTTGTATTTCAAAGTATTGAATCTCAGCAATAATCAGCATTCATTCTTTGAACCGTGTTTAAAGGTGATAGAGATTGTTTTGTTATGTTTCACAGTCAAGGTATCTTTTGCCAATACAGCCTGTACTTCCAACAGCCACGTCAAGCTGGAGCGTCCACTCATAAACCCTTGTTGGCATTCCCGCTACCTAGGGCTGTTCCTTTGTAGATGGTCCGCCATGTCATGACTTACAATGCTTTCTAGCACTATCCCATAGGCATATAAGCTTATACTCGTGGTTTTGTATTTCGATAGCGTTGTTTTCGTCACAGTGCAACACTATTCAAACGCAATATAATTTTGTCTACTTTTCAGTCTCTAAAAGTATCATTGTTGTTCTAGTAGACAGTATTTCCCAAGGTCCTGTTATAATAAGTATCGCACTCCAGTCGCCTTGCCGTCAACATTAATTGTAAGAATGTTATTGATGACTGACAAAAACATCTTTCACCAAGGTTTCTGATTACACTGGTCAACAGCCAAAATGGTTCACATATGAGATCATGCTCACACAACTAATTTCATATTGCTGAATTCGAATCTGATATTTGTTTTGTTCTATCAGAGCAGGTTTTATAAAAAAATCAATAGGTACAAATATTTAATATTCCATCACGTGTCGTGCAAAAGATGAGATTATCTCATGTGACTGTGCTTTCATGACTAATTTCATATTAATGAATATTAATTGGATATTTCATTCTACCATCAGACCTACTTTCTTAAAGAATAAAAAAAATAGTAAATATAGTAACATTATCGCGTCGTGCAAGATACAATTTTAAACCTATCACAGATAAGCTCATAAAAAATTGTACCAAAAAACATAAGTTCAAATCCTTTATAATTGTGGTGTGGTGAAATCCTAGACAAGGTTCTTCAAACTCCAAGCACGAGCAGTAGATATATTCAATAAGTGTACAAGACTTGGCAGGATAACCAACCGGTACAGGAACAGGAGTCAGCACAAGGAACTTCACGTCGTAGGCAGGCCGAAGCAGATCTGAGGGATATTAGCTAGCTAGGCAAGGAGAGTTGCTAGACATTACTAGGACAATAAATGAGGTCTTCTAGTTACTTGACTAGCGCGGTACAGACATAGTATATCGGGACATAGTAAGTGAACATAGGCATTAGACATAAGCATAGATATCAAACATGCTACAATAATATGTAGTAATACAGACATGTGAATAAATGGTACAATGAATGGTAACAGAGTCTTGGCGTCAGGCGTGTTCACATATCTTGGTATTTACATATCTATACACCTCCCTCCCCCTTTACGCTCGTAGTGCAATCTCGAGCGGCTACGGACTCTTTTTCCATGAGTCGGGGGGAGCGGCGAGGGACAATGGGAGGATCAACTGACGACCTTCGTTCCTGGTCTGGGCAAGGGGACACAGGGGACGGGGAGGAAGGTTCGTCACTAGAGGATGGCACTGGGCGGAGATGGCGTCTGTTTCGCCACCACACACGACCACTGGGGAGGCGGACTTGGTACGAACGAGACTCGCCACGGCCCATGACGACCCCGACCTTGTCCCAGCGGTGTGACGTCGGGTCCTGGATTCGTACTTGCTGGCCGACGGCCAACCTGGGAAGGGGGCGGGCTTGGGCGTCATAGTGGCTTGTCACTTGGGCCATCCGGGCAGCCTCACGGCGGTCACACTCGTCCGCCTTGATCTGCCATTCATCTAAGAAGGACTGGGGGTGGGCAGGCACACAAGTACGAAGGGGGCGGCCATACAACACCTGGGCAGGAGAGCGTCCGGCAGGGGTAGGGGTGTTACGGAGTTCCAGTAGGCCCCTGTCGAACTCCTCGCAGTCCAGGTTCCCCGTCGGTGCTGTCTTGAGGATGAGGTATTTTACGGACTTTACCGCTGCCTCGGCGTGGCCATTCGCCTGCGGGTAATGAGGGGAGGTGACGATGTGGTGGACGCCCCAGCGTTCGGCGAAGCTCTTGAACTCGTGGCTATTGAACGGGGGCCCACCGTCGGTTCGGAGGCGGAGAGGCACTCCGACTTCCCGGAAGAAGCAACAAAACATCCGGATGACCCTGGAAGAGGTGGTGTCCCGACCACAGGGAACTACCACGGGCCATCCAGAGAGCCTGTCGGCGACCACCAGGAAAGACTTTCCGGCCACATTAAAGAAGTCGGCGGACACGGACTCAAAGGGCCGCTTTGGGAGGTCATTGCACAGGTACGGCTCTTGTTGCTGGCTGGGTTGGAGTTGCTGGCAAGGCTCACAGGCCTCAACCGTGCTCTTAATATCGGCGTCAATACCAGGCCAGAAGACGGTCTGACGGGCTCTGCGCCTGGTGGCTTCAACGCCGCGGTGGCTGTCATGGAGGCGGGATAAGGTGCGCCGGCGGAGGGCAGCGGGAACGACGATCCTGGGGCCGTACAACACCAGCTCTCCGTCCGCATAGAGGCTATCCCTTAGCTTCCAGAAGGGGAGGGCGGAGGCGTGAATGTCGTAGCGGTTGGTGGGGAATCCAGCGGAGACGTAGTCGAGGAGTTGGACGTATGCCGGGTCTTGAGCGGCGGCGATGCGAAGCTCCTGGAGGGTCCTATCGTCTTCGATGGAGGGCGTCGTCGTCGTCTTGTCAGCAAGAGAAGTGGCTGTGTGTGTCACTAAAGACCGAACGTGAGCCGCGGCCGTGGTACAGTCGACTTCATCTTCAGGTGTGGGGCGACTAACAGGGGCTCGGGAGAGGGCGTCTGGTATGCACAGAAGCTTCCCGGCGCGCCACACAGCTGTAAAGACGTAAGGGGCGGTCTTCTCTTTGAGACGTTGGAGGCGAGGATTTTCGATGGCGTCCAACGTGTAGTGATTGAGGATGGGTATGAGCGGGCGATGGTCCGTCATGAGGGTGAAATGCCCAAGGCCGAACAGGTAAAGGCGGCACTTGGCCATAGCCCAGGCGACTGCCAGCATCTCTAGTTCGATGGTGGCGTATCTGGTCTCCGTGTCCGTCAAAAACCTGGAGCCACACTGAACTAAGCGCAGTCTACCCTGGCCGTG